AAGAGTGGTCTTTCCCAAAGCCAGGAATGCCAGGAAGCCTATCCTTTGCACAGGAAATACTCACAGTGCAACTGCTTGTCACCATTGAAAAGCAAGGTCCTTCTCCCTGGGTGCAAGAGCTGGGCATCAGTAGGGGCAGTGGCACCATGGCCAGCTCGAGGCACGGAGCCCATGTGACATGCTCCAGTGACATGCCACAGATATGCTCCTCTGTGCCATTGCTAGGACACCCAAAGGCACCCAGGAGGCAAATGGGTGCTATAGCATTTCCAGAGAAAATTGGATATCTATGTGGTGCTGACTGACAAAGGTGACTAAAACAGCAACATCCTGAAGCAGCAGCTTCCTGAGCTCTCTGCTTTAACAAAAAGGTTTGTCTCCAAGTGGGGTGAAGTGACACCATTTACTCCATGGAGGAGGGAAAATGCCCTGGTTCCTTTGCCTGTCCCGGCCCGGGGCAGCATGAGGACCCCCTGGCAATTCCCATTGATAAAATTCCCTGCCTCAGCCTTGCTGAGAGCTAATGGGGAGCAGGCCTTGCTCCTGACAGTGCCTTGAGGGGACCCCTTCATGCTGGAGACAGGGCTCAGGGCAGTGGTGGAGAGAAGCTTCTCCACAGCACCACTGACAGTCCCCCCAGGCTGAGCAGCACCCAGCACCAAGCCAAAAGCTGGGCCCTTCCTGATAGGGACAGGCTCAGGAGGAGGAATCCAGACTCTGCTCTCCCTTTGGTAGTAAAGCAATGTTTTTGTAATTCTGGAGTAGTGCACCCACAGGATTTTGTATAGATAGAAATTAAATTTCAATACTTTGGATAGCAATAGGGAATAAAATACGATTTGTATCATGTTTACTAAACTCATTCTCATATCTCTAAATTATTTTTGCAAAAAAATTACCAGCCTAAATATCTGAAGCCCTCCCATTCACCAATTTTTCCCTGATTGCTCCCATATTTCTTTCCAGAAGAAAACCAGTTCCCAGAAGAAGGGCTCCCTATCACTGTTGCTACAGCTGTTCTCCAGGCAGCACACTGTGCAGCTCTGCTGGAGCATCTCTGTGTGCCTGCCAATCACAGAATCCCAGAATTTGCTGAGCTGAAAGGGACCCACGAGCACTTCCCAAACCATTTGTGCGCTATGCAAAGTTTTTCATATACATGAAACAATTTTTCACTCTCATACAGCTGGGAAGAGTTGCACTTAGGTGCTCCTAATCACTTAACTCCAGATCAAATGGAACATATTATGCCCATCACTTTCCAGTGGCTGATCTTTGTGGAAGAAAAATAGTCTATTATTATTACCAGCCAGGAACTGCATTTCAGGGCAAGCAGCAGGAATTGATGTTCAGATTGTTAAAAGCCATGGATTAAAGTTCTGTTGATGACCTGCTATTTGGACTTGCACGGAACTGTAGAAAATTAAAATTAAAAAGTATATTTTTCAGAATACGATGAACAACTACAAAAAGAGATTTCAAATGTAAAGTTTCTTTGTAAGCCCCACTTGTAACTACACAGTAGCATTCACTACTTCTAATATCTACAACTTATACCCAGGAGCCTGCACACTCACATATTTTCTGTTCTACACCCTGAAAAAAATGAAATTGAGTATATATTGGCTAACACCCACACAGCATTCTTCCTAATGTATTTCTACAACTACCAAGCAGAGGTCTCCTTGTAAATAAAAGCAGTCTCTTAAATTTATATTGCACTTTTCTTCTGCAGGGACTTTCATACTATATACAGGAATAATATCCACCGTTGCTGAAATGCAGCCACTTCTGGAGTGGAATAAAGCAGCTACTTCACAGGCACAGAACAACATAAAACATCAGGAAGAGAAACATAACATTGGGACTGCAGCAGATATTTAAGAAGACAGACAGTAATTAAGTTTAAGGACTGTAATTTAGCCAGAACAGTGTGAAAAATGTGAAGGGATCTTTAATTGGAAGGGGTAAGGAGCATGGCTTTACATCTCACCTGGGATGCATTACCTCCACAAGGAGACTTGCCTCTCAAGCATGGGGTAGAAAACCACAAGAACCACTACCCTCAAAGAAGAGGGACCCTGCCTCCCCTCCATCTCATCACTGCACATCTTCCCATCCCTGCTGCTGAAGTGCCTCTTTCCCCTGATGCCATCTCTCAGCACACCTGCCAGGGAAATGAAGTCTCTCCTGTTGTCCTCAGTACTTTTGAGAAGCAGGGGCACTTGTGTTAATGACTTTACCCCAAACTCACTGCCAGCTGCTTTCTAGCCAGAGATAAAAGAGTTGAGGTTAAAGTGGGATGGGGCTTCCTGAGACTTTTACTGAAGCTGAAGGACACCTGACAGCAGAAGGCTTCATCTCTGGCTGGGACAACCTCCTTGCTCTGCCCTGCACCTACAGCCACCAAAGGGCTTCTTGCCCCCTGTGCCATGGCTTGGTGCGGTGAGGCTCTTACAGCCTTCCTCACAGGGGCTGGCAACAGGGCATGGACTCCCTCCCTGCAGGCACCCCTGTGTGGTGCCCTTTTGCTGACACTTGCCTCACAGGTAATGCTTTGTCCATCATCCTGAACCTTCAGGCTGCACCTCTCCAGCCCCACAGCACCTCTGATGCTCACTAAACACCACCAAAACCTGGGTGCTTGTGCAAGCTGGGCTGAGCAGTCTGTAGAAGCAAACTCACAAGGCCTCTGCCTCAGAGCTCAGAAAGTGAGATGGTTGCCCTGGGCTATCTCTTACTGATGGGGAAGGACTCATGTCTCCACCTTCTGCCCAGAAGAAGCCTCCTGCAACCAGCAATGCAACACAAATGTTCTGCTGCTGGCAGATCAGGAGCCATTGGGAAGCTCCCAAGCGCCACTGGAAAGCACGGCCTCTCCTAGGAGTGAAAGTGGACTCCTACCAGGAGTGGGGTGATGAAGCACAGAGGAAAAGAAGAGCACAGGGCTGAAAGAGCTCAGCCTAAAAAGGCAGCCCTGGCTGCCCATGAAAATGGCAACAGGCAGCAAGACACAGAATTGCTGTTGGCACCCACTGCACTCCATGACACAGCCTGGCCCTAGGCAACAGCCATGGCTTTCCTGATCAAATGTGCACTGTGATTGAGGTCTGGGCTCTGGAGGGAGGAGTGGAGACAGAAAAGACACAGTCCCAATTCTTGGAAATGGAGAAAAGCAGAATGAGCTGGGGAGACTTGTATCATGCCCTCTACTGTCTTGCAAGGCCTCCTGTGAAGAAGGTCCCCTTGTCCCTCAGAGCTGATGTCCTTTCTCTCTCTGATGGTGGCTGGATCTCCTGGGAGTTAAGGAAGAGCTTTCCCCCTCCATCAGTGAAGGCAATGAGGCCCCAGCCATGGCTGGAAACTGAGCAATGCAGGAGGCAGTTAATACATTCAGGTGATTTCAGACAAACATGGCTGTCTTAGAGAAGCTGATATTTAATCAGAAATGGCTAAGGTGCCATGAGTACTGCAGTGAAACAACTATCTTATCTGTGGTGCTCCAGATAGGGATTTTGGATGGGGTATCCCTTAGGAGGAAGAGTCACAATTAATTGCAAGTGTGGGTTAGTAAACCCCAATTCACAGCCTTGTGGGGCTAACCCTGCCCTGTGCAGGGAGGTAAGTCATGCCCAGAGCTGCCGCCAGATGCAACAAGGCTATCACAGCTCCTGTTTGGCTGGTGCAGAGCAAATCCTTCTCCTGGAGGTTCATCTGCCTCCACCTTGAGGATGTTGGGCCAAATCTGCTGCAGGTCTGCAGCAAAGAGAAATACCACCTTTACCCACATCCCTGAATTTCCCCCATCCCTGCTCCCTTGCTCCTCAGTGGCAAACAGCACCACAGCTCAGCACAAGCCTCTTGTGCACAAGGGCCAACTTCCTGCATGAATCGTTCTTGGAGCAGTTTCTTGCCTGTTCCACACTTCAGCTCCTCTGCCCACTGCCCTGGCAGTGGAAGCTGAGTGCCTGTGTGGCTGCATGTGCTGACAAAATTCAGCAACCTCAGCCCTGAGCAGTGATGCTGTTGCCAGCATTTGCCCACACTGCAGCAAATGCACTGTGCATGTAAAAGGCCTTGGGAGGTGAGAGGGCAGCACTGGAGCTGCCTGAACTGCCAGCCCAGGGGTTGGGTCATGAGCACAGGACTTGCTGCCTGGCTAAAGAACATTTAAATGCCTGAATCTTCCCATAATCCAGAAAACTTGAGGTGGAGGAAGTAATGGAATAAAAACCAAAATAAATAGGTAACAAAATACAGGCAGAGAAGCAATTGTGGGTTTGGGGCTGAGGCAGTTGCCATCCCAATATTCACAGGGGGAAGCCAATGTGCAACTGCTCCACCCTTCCAGTCCCATCCAGTCACATCCCATCCCTCAGCCCCAGAGAGACCAGATTTTCTGTCTGCAGCTCAGACCTGATCCTTATCCAGCAAGAGTGCTGAGAGACAGACAGAGGCTCTTGGAGGCCCGTGCTACAGCTGGATCCAGACAGGACTTCCCCACTCAGCGTGGTCCATGCCATCGGTCCCTTCCTTGCTCCATCTTCTTCAGGCTGGGGGATGAGGAGAAGCACAGAGTGGTGGGAAAGGGCCAAAGCAAACCACACTGGGGGCAATTAAGTACATGAAAGCCTGGGAGGTGTGGATGGATGGAGACACTGAAGCACATGCGGTGCGAGGAAAGGCGCTCCGGCCGCCGGCACGCGGGGCGGCTGCTGCCCCACAGACGGGGCCGGTGCTGCAGCCGGAGGGGGGCAGCCCCAGCCAGTGGGAAAGCATGAGGAGACAAGGGGAGTACTGCAGGATATCATCCACTAAGCTGTGGGCTCTGCAGCAAAGAAGGTAACTGTTCTGGTAGAAATTTGTGCTTTAATATATTTTTGTTTGTTTGTTTAAAACAAGTTCTCACTTCCCTGAGGAAGCCCTGTCCGACATTCCCAAGGAAACATGGGTGTGTTTTTTTTCTTCTTTCATTTGCTCTTCACATTTCTTCATTCCCATTTTTTTGTGTTTCGTTCCTTCTTTTCTCCATGTGTGTTTCTTTCCTTCCTCTCTCTCTCTCTCTCACTCTCTCTCGTGCACGTGCTTTTAAAAAAAAGTTTTGTCTTTATTTTTAAATTTTGTTCTAGACATTATAACTTTCTCAAGGAGTGCTCCAGTTCTGAACCAGATCCCTTTGCATGGTCATGCCTGTCAGTCTTTGGTAACATATGGACACTTTGGTGTGCCAGTGAGGAGGGGAGGAAGGAGAAGAGGTGGCTGAGTAGGAAAGGAGCAGGAATGTCTTGGTCCGAAGACAGGAGCGCTCGCTTGCCATCATCTGAGCAGCACGTAAAGGAAGAAAGTCAATGGGCCACAAAGCCAAGGGCTGTGCAGGGCTGGGACACCGCTTCCTGGAAGAGCAACAGCTGCCAGCCGAGAAGGGAGAAAGAGAATTAGTGATGGGACAGATACAGACCTCATCACACAAGTCAGCACACATCTAGGTGTTCTACAAGCCTGAAGGACAGAGAGTTCCCTGATCTTTTGGAAGACACTTTGAGACTTTCCTGGACATTTTCAAGGTTCCCCAAAACTAACTTTGGATAAAAGGTTGAGTCTTAGACTCTTTTGCAATCCAATCCTTTCTTCCCCAGAACTTTCAATCTGAGTCAAACAAAAGACTCTCACTGTGTTATGGTTATATCCCAGGCTAAAATAAACCTTTAATTGCACCTAAAATTTTGAAAATTTTACAGTGTTCTGACTTTTGTTTCCCTCTTCACCTCTGGAGTTAAGAAAATTGCTAGAAGTGACTCTTTGAAGTTTTTCTTGCTTCAAAAATAAATAAAACAAACTGAAGCTTGTTCTCAGGTGCCTGTCTAGCTCTGGTTTGCATACCCTGAACATCTGCTCTCTGACCCAGCTGGAGCATACTATCAAGGGCACAGGCAGGACTAGGGCAGAAGGCACACCAGGAATTCCCACCCCATGCCTACGTACTGTTTACACACACCTCGCCGTGGCTGCAATGCATGGTGCACCCAACAGTGGAGTTGTCTCCATCACTGCAGTGCTGGCATCACTTTATGTGGTGGACTAGAAAGGGGCTGGTGGGATTTAGCCTGGCTGTGCCACTCTGCTCAGATAGGAAAGCAGCAGAGTCCTCCCATGTTCCAAAGAGCAGATTGTTTTTTTTCTTAGAGTAGGACTGACTTAACACTACAAAGGCCATTAAAGACTGCAGAAGGTCCCTCTCCTTTCCATAACTAGAGTTTCCAGGAAATGAGGTATTGCAGAAGTCCTTATCTTATTGGGGATGACACCTCCTGGTTGTGGTTGTTCTTTTGACTCTTGCTAACTCTCGACTGCATAGAACAAGCCCAAGAGTCTGACAGCCCCTCTGGTGACTCCTGCTGGTGGGGTCAACCACCCCGTTGAGTCCCACCAACACATCAGCGTGCTCTGAAATCAGCTGTGCAGTGTGTGAATGCACTCCTGCCAGCTTGTTTGCCTCTGAGGCAGGCACAGTCTCACCCTTATTCGGTCCAATTGGCTTCCTTGGGCAGTCTCCCTTTTTCAGAGTGACGTCATCGATGGCAATGTCCCCCTCGTAGCTGGTGCCCCGGACACCTTCAAAGATGATCTACAAGCAGAGCATGGGAGAGAGCCCAGCGTGAGGCTGCAGTGTGGAGGGCCCCTCCTGCACTGCAGGGCTTTGCAGAAGTCAGCAGGACACAGAGAAGATCTTATCAGGCCCCTAAAAGAATTATTTCCTTCCCGTTTCTCCAATATTCATAGGCTCTGGAAAGCCAGATCCCACTGTTTATGGGACCAACCTCTTTGTACTGAGCGTCTGTGCAGTAGTAAATGAGCATTAGAGCTCTGCTTTATTACATGTCCTGCTCTAACAAGCCAACCAATACCGAACAGAACTTTCAAGAGTAACTACATTCTTATTTACTATTTTGAAGTGTCCAAAAACACACTGGGCATTTTGCCACAGTGCCACAACTTAACCAGCCTGTACAGGGCAGCTCTCACAAGCAACTCTACAACAGCAAAGTAGCCTGTTGGGTAAAAACCTCAGCCATAAAAGCAGCCCACTGTCTGGGTACACATGAACAATTCGATGAGCACATGCAGAGTGCCCAGCTCATTTTCACAAGAGCTCCCAGTGCCCTCCCTTGTGCCCCACCAGCCCCTGTGCTTCAGAGGAAGACGTCTGCCAGGAAATCTACATCCATGGCCCATGGACAGGGCAGGTGGCTCCTTGACTGTGGGCTTGGCTTACCTGGAAGGGCCCAGGGGGGTTGATGGGCACATGTGCTTGCTGCCACACGTTGCCCCGATTGCCACTGAGGGACCAGACCTGGGTGTCGATGGCTCGCTTGTTCCGCACGCGAACCAGCAGGTTCAGGGAGCCTGTAGGAGAGAAACAGCCCTCTGGGCATGCTGAGGCAGGCAGCCAAGCCTGCCTGCTGGGCTGGCTCCTGGCACAGCTCTGGGCTCAGCCCCAATCCATGGCAGTAAGCCCCAGCTGGCACAGGGACATCCTGCAGAGCCGCAGTGGCCATCTCTGAGGGGAGCCAGCTTCCTCCCATGTCCATGGGTAAGTGCCACTGGCAATGTTTCATCCACCTGGCCTTTCCTAGGGAAGCACGGACCCAGATAAAGAGGGGCAGGATGAGGAAGAAGCAGTGTGCAGCATGGCTGGGGTGGCATGAGAAGGGGCTGGCAGAAATGCTAGCTGCCAGGGACCTCCTGCTTGAAGCTGTCTCCTGCTGTCCATGAAGGCAGCATGGTTTTGCCTGGCCAATCTTGAACTTCCCTGAGGAAAGCAAGTTCTTCTACTGTCCAGTATGAACATCCAGCACTACCAGTTGTGGACACTGTTCCTCGTCATATAATCTAATACTATGAAAAGATTTTGGTTCCATTATCTTTGAATTTGCCCTTGAAACAGCTGGGGGCCAATGGCTGACAGCAACCTCCTCTTTGCCAGACTGAGCAAGTCCAGCTCCCTTAACTTCTCTTCCTAAGGACTTCTGCTCCTGGCCCTTGACCATCCTGCTGCCCTTCTGCTGGGCCTCACCAATTTCTCCACATTCCACTTGAAATGGGGAAACCAGAACACGTATTTGCCTCCCCCTGTTCACCACTGACACCTGAAATATGCAGTGCAGCTAACAGGGCTCTCCCTGCTCTTTCCCTGGCCATCAGCTGTGGAAATATAACCAGTGTCCCCATTCACCACTTGCCCTGGGAGCAGCCTTGGAGTGAGCAGCTGTTCTTTGAAGCACCAGTGTTGCCTGTTCCACACCACCTGGTACCATCCCAGCCCAATGTTTTCAGAGGTTCACAAACATCCTGCAAATCAATGCTGACTTCAAGTTCTTTCAAAAAAAAAAAAAACAAAACAATTCCCAAAAGGTTTTGTCTATCATTAAACCAAAATCAAAGCCAACAAATCTCAAAGCATTTCCAGTTCTCACTTTGAAAACAGTGTCACAGCTTCCTACCCTACACCCACTCACAAAACCATCTCAGTTTGTCTTACTGAAACATTTTGTTAGCATGCCCTCAGATTACTTATTTTCCTTTTTTGCTTCAGTGAAAAACATTCAGAGTTAAACATTCAGTCAGGGTTGACCTGAAACACTTTTTTTTTTTCTCAAGAAATCAATCAATCACAAGTCTAGTCATGCTGTTGCTCATCAGGGTTTCTGGTCTCCATACACAGCTATATTACACCTGAGAGTATGGAGGAAATAGTAACCCTTACTTATCCATCTGTAGTCTATCTGCACTTGGGATGCTGCCTTCCCACATGGCTCTGCCCTTTGGAAAAGCAGCAGAATGAGGTCAGAGGAAGAGATGGGGAAACAGACTTTCCTGTATAACCTCCCTCCTACATGATCCCCCCAAATCCTTCTTTCTTGGCACATCCACCCTAGGGGCACTGGGTGAAGGACAGGCACCTGGAAACACTCCCATCAAGCACCTGGCTGTCAAAACCTGAGAGATACATTGCAGGGAGTTCAGATCATGATAAAGATGATGGAATGTTTAGATTCTTAGTGAATGACTTGCAAGGAAAGGTTAAAAAATGAAATATGTATATAATTTAGTGAAATGAGGATAGAAAACACATTTTTTTCTGGAAATATTTAAAAGCACTAACTGAAAGGCAAGCTGAGAAGACTAGATGAAGTCCTGACAGGACATAGACAGCATATCCAATCCCCTTCCCTGGTGGTACTCAGTTTGGGATGCACACCATACCCTAGGGCAAGGATAAAAATCGCTTCTTTCTCTCTCTCTCTTGACCAGCTGGCACTGCACAACCTCGGGAGATCCAAGCCAGTGAGACCTCCCTCCTGGAAACCCAGTGCCACAGATAAGAAAAGTCACTATAGGAATCTCTGGCAAAACCAGCTTTGAGCGGCTGATTTCTTGGCAACTTCCTGCCCTCAGCAGCTTCCTATGAAGGAAAGTCTCTCTAAGGATTCCCAGCCCTCATGGAGCCCCTTGTCCAAACTGAAAGCTCAGGCAGGAACTGTATAACCCCACAGATCAATGTCAACAGGAGTGTGTTCAGAGCAGCTAATTACAGACACCAGGGCCCGTGAGGTGAGGGATTGAGAGCAAATGAAGAATTAATATGGAGCTGCTAGCAAGCAAGGATTAAAAACAACCATTGTCTATTCTATCCTCATTTGGGGACTTGTAGCTAGGATTTGCTGCACAATAGCCTGGCTGAGTAGTCAGCACTGGGACAAATCACGCAGCAAACGAACTTTGATGCCCTAGGAAAAAAGCAAAGGCGAGATAGAAAGAAACCCAGAGAAGCATCTGGAATGCAAATTAGTGCCTCCAAAGCACTGGTTGTGAATGCCTGGCCTAAACCCAAACCAAGCCTGAGCACATCCTGGCTGACAGCTCCGTGTTCTTGCAGCATCAGGAAAAACAACCTTTTGGCCCCTGAATTCCCTAATACAACAATACTGAATATGAGCAGGCATTCTTCAAATGGTTTACAATTGGAAAGGAATCTCCCTTATCTACTCACAACATGCAGTGTTTCACTACTGTGTACACATGGAAAACTGAAGGTCAAAACAGAGGAGCAGCAATCCCATGGCTCTCTTAGAAGTCAGTCAGAGTTGTGAAGGGCAGCCAGCTCTCACAGCCCTACCTGCAATCCCTGCTAAGTTACAGAGGTTTCCTGAGACTGAGAAGGAACTACAATACCTACATTTTCCAGTAACACTGTTACTAGGAATATGCTTCTGGGAGGGATGGAAGTGGCTCCTGGACGTGAAACAGTGATGAAACCTCTATCCCATCTGAACTGAGTCCACAGTGTTGTAAATGTTAAATTTGTGCAGCTCTTCTACTTTACACCCTTCTACCGCCTGTCAGTCTGCCACAAGTGGCCAGTAAATTTAAGGGCACATAGCCTGTGATGGAGGTACCTGTAAATGAACCTTCAGATCTGCACTCTAGGCAGAGCCATGAAACACTGCAGACGTGGACTATGGGAATCTCCAAGTCATCTTCCTTTCCAGTGCCTACAATCTGAAGAAGAACCGAACTGTGACCTGCTCTCTAACGCCTCATCAGTGGAGATGAGAAAGACCCATCAGTGCCAGTAGCTGCAGTCACCTTTTTTGCCTGGTTTCACACTGCAGCCATGCCTGGTTTCCTCTATCAGAGTCCAAAGCCAGCTGGACAGTTTTGTTCCCTATTTCTCTCCTTGTTGCCCCTTCCCCATCTCCCCTGCCTGGCACTTTCTAAGGGCACCTGCTGGTGAGGCACACAAAAAGTTAGATCATCTATCTACTGCTATATCTCTTCAGCCAACCAGAGAAAGACAAACAAAAGGGAAATCCCAGGACATCAAGAATCCTGTTGTTACCTCTTCCCATACACGGCAATCTTTGCATTTGTCTTGTAATCTGTATTATTCTTTCTTCCCAGTCAAAAGGGAGAATAAAGGCAAGTGATGAGTGATGAGGAATTAATTACAGGCAAAGCCAGCTGTACCTTCTGCTGGCTGCCTTGAAGACCAGAGCTGGCATTTCAAAAGACTGGCACTCACACAAAAGACCAGCTGTGCTGCCAGATAGAATAACCCAAGGGATGCCTTTAAATGTTACCTTCACACAACAAAAAAAAAAGTATTCACTCAGTTACCACAGGAGGGGGACTTGACTGTCATGCTGAATTGCAGAGTAGCTCCAGAAGAGCTGGTGCAGGGAGATCTGGGAGGGATGCAGGGCCTGCAGGGGCAGGGCCAACAGCACAGTTGGTGTGGGATGGCAGAGAAGGTAGAGGGTTCCTCAAGAGCTCTCTTGGGGAGTTAATGCAGGGGATGGGGTGAGGAAAAGGCTAAGGTACAGCTCAGTTTACATGGCTCAGATGGAAGGCAGCCAGCTGGAGCAGTCAGGAAGCAAAGGGAGGATGACATTAGGCACTGAGAGATGGGGTGCCATGCCAAGTGCAGCAGAGCTCCGTGGGATGGGTAGGGAAGGCTGTTGGATCCACAGCCTCGAGCTGGCACACGGGATGGTTTCACTGCATCTGCCTGCTGCACTCCTGTAAGATCCTTGCTCCAGTATGGGGCAGTCTCAGGAGATCAGCTATGGATGAGAATTCCCAGCTGCAGCTCCACTTTAGATTTGGCACCCAACTGGGAATTCAGGGCTGAAAGTCCCCATAGAAATTCCCATGGCATTTCCAGTCCAGACCAGACAGATTGAGGCAAGAAGCTGACTGATTGCAAGAGATATCCAGTAACTAGAAAGAGATTCACGGTGTGGAGAGGACTTAGACCTTGCACAGCTTAGCAGAGTCATCTGTAGACCCAAAATGAGGGTTAAAACCAATCCAGGGAGAAAAGAGCTCTTACATTTTCTAACAGGGGCTCTGAGCACTTCTTTGAGTGTTTAATGTTAATGCCACTGATCAGAAACCAAAAGCCCAAAGCTCAGTGTAGGCAAATACCAGGAGTCAGTGACAGTCTCCAGAAAGAACCTATTACTGTTTATAAGCTCCACAACAAACACAGGTCTCTCTCCCTCTCATTTAAATGGATGCTAATGAATAGCAGTCAGCATCAGGGTGGTTACAGAGCTGGGGGGAAAGTTATTGCTCTGAGAGCTAGAGAGCAGAGGGTAGAAAAACAATTGTAGCACAGATAGAGATGCAGAAATAATACCAGGTGGTACTGACTCATAATTTCTAGGAATGTAAGCTGTCTTTGTGCCATGGTAGGATGTATTTACTCATTCACAGTCTCTCAGGATGCTTCACACATTAACATATGAGGAGTAAGACAATTAAAGCCTCTAGGCTGCTTTCCACTTCTGACTGCAGAGAACTTCTATTTCTACATGCCTGTCACTGTTCTCAGCTTGGTG